ATCAAATGCCTTACTGAAGTCCAAGTAAACTATATCAACGGCATTCCTCTGGTCCACTAATTTTGCCACATTATCAAAGAATAGATGGATAGATGATAAATAGATAGAAGATAGATAGATGATAGATAGACAGATAGATAGACAGATAGATAGACAGACAGATAATTATGTGGAGATCCTATATTTGTCAACTAAAACGATATTAAGAGGGAAATATCTGCCCTGAAAAACATCAAAATGAAAAATATTTAAGCAATATTACTCTTTCTATTTTCTTCTCAGAAATATAGTTTTAAATGGAGATCTTTGCCTGAATTTGAGGATCTGGTGCAGCTTAAACTGATTCTTATTGTAAGCAACCTCCTTCACCATCACCCATAATTTGGCATCTGAAAAGAAACTCATATTGCCCCCTTGTGATATATTTGATACCTGTAATGGGTGATTTAGTCCAGATGCAACCTGCCCTGAGACTATTTTGGAATTAAAAAATCATGGGACAAATAAACTGTGATCATAGTGTAAAGGCATCTTTGATATAACTTTGCAATATGTGTCAAGAGAATGCTTGAAGCAAAGATACCTGAACAAACTGTGGGGGAATGACTGTATCATATGGAAATACTGCCCATTTATCAAAAATCATATTTTTGAACATAAAAAGGCTAGGAAGAGTTGCAGCAGCATGTAGGTTATAAAGCAAGCTCGCCAGATATTTTTCTACTTAAGGATTTTGGTTCCTTTTGAAACACTAAATACATATGATATCCATATTACAGAGTTAATTAGCTTAGAAGTCAGGCCCCTTCTCAGTTTCCTCTGAGTTTTGGGGGAGGGAAACTAAGAATTCCTAATAATATCAATGAATAACAACCAATTTCGTTGTATTTAAGTCCAATGACAATAAAGATTATACTTATACAATCCTTGGGATTTATTAAAGGGAAACCATGATAGTGGACTTGAATGAATTAGGGTTATAATGGATAAATACCTTGACCTATTGTACCCATTGCTCATATGTACAGCATCACCTATAGCCATCTAGAATTCTCTGGAGGCTAGTAAGGATCATAATATTTTAATTATATAATCAATTTGGATGAGATCAGAGCTGCATCCAAATGGTATAGAGTATAAATAACATGCTGTCAAACTGTCTATTTCTTAGTGGAATCTCTGCAATAAGAAAAAAAAATGCAAACAAATTCAGAAAACACTGTACAATTATAAATGGAAGACAGGTAAAAGGTAAAGGTTTTCCCACACATGCGTGCTAGTTGTTTCCTGCTCTAGGGTGTGTGTGCTCATCTCTGTTTCTAAACTGAAGAGCCAGTGCTGTCAGAAGACTTATCCGTGGTCATATGGCCAGCATGACAAATACCAAAGGTGCATGGAGCGCTGTTACCTTCCCACCAAAGGTGGTTCCTGTTTTTCTACTTGCATTTTTTACGTGCTTTCAAACTGCTAGGTTAGCAGAAGCTGGGACAAGTAACGGTAGCTCATTCTGTTACGCAGCACTAAGGATTTGAACCCCTGAACTGCCAACCTTCTGATCGACAAGCTCAGGGTCTTAGCCATTGAGCCACTGTGTCCCTCTAAAATTTTTGGAATAAAGAGGGACAAATGCATAGTAGAAAACTAATCATGAAATCAAAAGCCTATATACACGTGTGTGTGTGTGTGTGTGTGTGTGTGTGTGTGTGTGTGTGTGTTAAATCTAATGCAGACATTAGATTAAGAGATCTAATCTAATCTGGAATTGACAAATCCATTCCATTCTTGTTGCTCTAACCTGATATTGACTGAATAATCTAAAGATTTTTTGAGTGTCATGCAGACTGTGACCTTAATCTAGAGTTAGAAAGGTCATAAAAGTTGTTGTAGAGCCATCTAATTCTTCCAATTTGCTAATCGTTTTAACACTTGTGTTAGTTGTA